AGAAAAGACTCCAGGGAGCAACCGGCCAAGAATTCAGATTCAGCACATGCCACCCCTGAGTTGGGGACCTGAAGGCCACAGTCCCATCTCTGCTGGAAGTCTGTGTTTTGTCAACAAGGAGCAAATGGGGACTTTTCTGCACTGTGGGGCTGGGAGCCTACCAGATGCATGACTTGGGAGTCTGGGTTGGGCACGTAGGGCCTGGGAGCGATGGGGCTGGACTGGGCTCCTGAGCCTGGACCTGGATATCCATGTACTCATTCATTCACTCAGGTTTTCATCTCTTCATCACCTCCTGCGTACCGTTCGTCCTGTATTCCGTCCTTGTTCATTTCAACTTTATCAGGCTCCTCCTGTTAGGTATGTCCGGGGCCAGAACACACAGGAGATGCACAAGAAGGGGCTCAATCAAGGGAGATAGAGGGGAACAAGGCAAGTCCCCTACCCTCGGGTATCACACAGTCCAGCAGTGTGAGGGGCAGCCGTGCTCAGAGCTCCTTGGCCATGGAGAGGCCACCAAACCCGGTCTGAACCCACTGTACCCCGTACTAGCCAGATAAGCATACCATAAAGCTTGCTCCTCACCTGGTGCAAGGCAGCGTGTGTAAAACATCTTTCCATAACCGCTAGTATCATAATTACTAAGAGAGGCCAGGGCCATGTAAGCTACTAATACCGGAGTGAGTGTTTTGCTAACAGTCTGTAGATACATCATGTTACCCTGCTCGGCTTGCTGGGTGGGGTGTGGTCAAGGGTGGTTTCGCAGAAGAGCAAGGAGTGGGGCTGTGACTGGAAGGAGAAGTAGGTGATCACCAAGCAAACAAAGAGGAAAAGACCCCTCAGGCCGAGGAACCCGCTTGGACAAAGGCATGGAGGTGGGAGCTCAGGGTTGCCCCGGATGCCCAAGAAGTTAGCGTGTGGAGCTAGGGTCATGGGGGGATCTGCCGGGCAGGCTGCTGGGCCAGGACATGGAGGCCTTCAGTGTCTTGTGGAGGAGGCTGAACTCAGTTCTGAAGGCCGTGGGGAGTTAGGGGTTAGGCTGCTTCTCAACCTTGGCGTTCTGGACAATTTGGGCTGGAGAATTCTCTGTGAGGAGCTGTTCTGAGCGCTGCGGGGCGTTCGGCAGAATCCCTGGCCTCTACCCACCAGGTCCCAGCAGCACCTCTCCCTGCGCCCTGCGGCTGTGACCACCCAAAATGTCTCCAGACATTGCCAAGTGTGCTGGGATGGGAGAGGGGGCAAAATGACCTCGGCGTTGAGAATTCCTGGGCCAGGAGAGTGGTATGAGGGCACGATGCTTTGCAGGCCTGGGCGTGGCCTGACCACTGCATGGAGAAGCAGATGTGGGAACAGAGCCCAAAGGCCAGTGCCTCATCGGGAGGCCCAGGGCATCATGGGTGAGAGGTAGAGCCAGGGCTGGGCTATGGGGCAGAAGGAAGGGGTCCAGGCCCTCCACACTGCCTCTGCTGGCACTGAGCTTTACCAGGTTTCCCAGTGGCAGGTACAATATGATGAGTGTCAAGATCCATCCCTGACCTTGAAGAGAAAGTCCCGGACCACATGTGCAGGTCAAATGGAGATACGAAGTGCTTTGGCCAGAACTGGCCATCGGCACCCCCAGCCTAAAAAAGATGAGGGGTTGGAGAAGCTAAGAGAGAGGATTTGGGGGAAGGAGTCACCATTGTGCTGAGTGCTCCCTGCTGCCCTTTAGAGAGGAGAGGGTACTTCCTCTTATCTTGGGCTACAAGCAGGAGGGGATGCGAGGAACCCATCTGGGAACTTCATATCCCAGGAGTTGAAGGACCGTAATGCAGATGGGAGATTCTTGTCTATTTTGTCCACTGCTGAGTCCCCTGCACTCCAGGGCTGGTATGCGATAGGTGCTCAATAAAGGAGCCTGTGGCTGGATGGGCCTGAGCTGGCATTGCTGGAGCGAGCCAGGCTGCATGGAGAGTGAGCTGGGCTGCTATAGGTGTGCAGCAAAGGGCAGGGCAACCATGGACCCCAGGGAGGAGGCCAGCCTGGCCATCTCCATCCCAAAGTACTTCCTAGTAAGGGAGGTGGCCTCAGCAGAAGAAGCTTGCTGTACAGGAGGACTCCACCCTGCGGGAGCTGAAGGGGAGGTGGTGAATTGTGGCCAGCAGGAGGTGCCGGCGTTTCCGGTGCTGGGGAGCCATGGCCAGTGGAGTCAATAAGAAAGTGTCCAAGAAACCTGCACAAGAGCCCCAGAGAGAATGAGCTGGAAACTGTCCCCCAAGGCCCCAATGCCAGCTGGGCGACAACTTCGGCTGCCATGGAACACTGTGTCCTTTCCTTCCCAAACCCTCACGCCTGGGCCTGACCCTCTAGCAGTCAAGAACTGCACTTGGCAGAGTTCAGAGAGAAGTCCCCTGCCCTCAAGCCTGGGCTGGCCTGGAGCAGGGGAGAAGTGCCGTGCTGCAAACACTGGAGCTTGAATCTGCTCTCAGGACAGGACCTAGGCCAGGGAGGAGCTCTGCCTTCAGGAGGTGATGTGCCGTTCATTGGGATCGCTGGGGTGGGGAAACTGGCAGGGGGAGCCGGCTGCGGGGGGAGTCAGTTAGACCCACTGGGCTTGAGGTGTGTGGGGGACAACTAGAGAGAACTATTGTCCCTTGCTTCCACCAGGTGACATCTCCCTCCTGCCTTCGGCTCTCTCTTAGGGATCAGGGAGTCCTCAGAGCTGCTCCTAGATAATTCTTGTAAGGGCCAGAAGAATTCTGCATGCCTGTCCAGCGTCTGACCCTCTCTGCAGAGTTAAGGCTGTGGGTCATACCAGCCACACCTTCAGTGTGGCCCGTGTCATAGAAACATGTGGAAACCAGGTGATTTCCCAGACTCCTGGTCAGGAGGTGGGGTTTTCCATCCCCAAGAGTCACTTCCCAGTTTCTCACTCAGCACCTAGAAGCACCATCCCTGCAGCCTCCACTGTGGGGCTGGTGGCCCAGAGCAAGGGTCCCTGTACCTCTTCAGGCAGCCTGCAGTGAGGAAACGGGGAACAGAATCACCTCCTGCCACCCAGCCCACCCCAACCCTTAGAAATTCCCTATGTGCTGGGGACTAGGACTCCCCCGTAACCAGGGCTGGAGGATGTGCTCTGGCCACACGGGGTTGGTCCTGTATTAGAGCTGGCACTCAAAGTGGGGATGGGGGGACAGGTTGCAGGTGGAATGGGCGCTCCATCATGGTGTAAATCCTAGGGAGCCAGCCTTCCTGGCCTTGGCCTCAGCAGCTCCTCAGGGCCCCACAGCTTGCCAGGTGACATTCTCTCCCAGCCTCTGTTCCATCCGCCCACTGCCTGGACAGGAGGCTTGAGCAGGAAAGTGCAGAATCTCCTCACTCTGAGGAGGGCTGGGTGCATGTTGAAGGATAAATGAACACATGCAGAGCAGTAACAACAGCCAAGATTTATAAATGCCTGGCTGGGCACGGTGGCTCACACCTGTAATCCCAGCACTTTGGGAGGCCGAGGCGTGTAGATCATGAAGTCAGGAGATTGAGACCATCCTGGCTAACATGGTGAAATCTCTACTAAAAAATACAAAAATTAGCTGGTTGTGGTGGCGGGTGCGTGTAATCCCAGCTACTCAGGAGGCTGAGACAGAATTGCTTGAACCCACCAGGCAGTGGCTGCAGGGAGCCTAGATTGCACCACTGCACTCCAGCCTGGGCGACAGAGCGAGTCTAAAGAAAAAAAAAGCCTATTGTTTTATATATATATATATATGGACATATGTGTCTCTATAAAACAGGCATTTTAATATAATACATATTTATTATATATAAAATACATACAAATAATATTTAGATATATAATATATATTTTTTATATTATATATATTTACTTAAGTATATATAAAGTACAGACTGCATTATGTATATTACATATCTTTAAATGTTTGGAATAGTCCCATGAGGTCAGTTCAGAGATTCAGACCCGGATGGTCTGGATCTAGGGTCTAAACAGGCCGGGTGCAGTGGCTCACACCTGCAATACCAGCACTTTGGGAGGCCAGAGGCAGGAAGACCACTTGAGGGTGGGAAGAGCGCTTGAGCTCAGGAGTTCAAAACCAGCCTGGGCAATATGGCGAAATCCTGTCTCTACAAAAAAATACAAAAAAAATCAGCCGGGCAGGGTGGCCAGAGCCTGTAGTCCCAGCTACTCAGAAGGCTGAGGAGGGAGGATCACTTGAGCCCAGGAGCCCGAGGCTGCAGTGAGCTATGGGTGACAGAGTGAGACCCTGTCTCTAAAAAAATTAAAAATAAGAATTAAGCCGGGCGCGGTGGCTCACGCCTGTAATCCCAGCACTTTGGGAGGCCGAGGCGTGTGGATCACAAGGTCAAGAGATCGAGACCATCCTGGTCAACATGGTGAAACCCCGTCTCTACTAAAAATACAAAAAATTAGCTGGGCATGGTGGCGC